GATCGATCTGTGGAGTTTCCCAACAAGTGTGTCTAAAAGTGAAGATGGAAAAGGCAACAATTATGTCTAATTCCCATGTAGTCCCACCCCGGCGAAGATTGCAAGCTTTGTACTGCAAGTTGTTGACAAGTATCCTGACCTGACCTGATATGACCTGAGAGGAATAATCCAACTTGGTAAGTAAAATTTCCAGAAAGAGATCAATTGGGGTGACCCCGTCAGGGGTACAGTAAACGAAATTCTAATTAGTCCGTCAGTTAGATGATCAAAAAATAATGGACATGTATTTTTTCTTTGGGCAATCAACCAAAAAATGACAAAGTTATAGCGCGTCAAAGTTTGGGAGTAGGGGCTCGTGACGTCACTTTTTAGTGAATTTTCACTCAAAAGTGTACTCAAACGTGATGTCATGCGACTTTCTAATCTACATATATCTGCAATGTTTATATTATGTGAAAAAAGAAAAAATACGTGTCCAATACTTTTTGATAATCTACCTGATAAACGAAGAAAAAAATATTAGTCATCATCCCTATTGACTCCAAACTTTAATACGTGTGTTTTAGCAGTGATGACATATCGAACCAAGACGTGGTCGCTTACAACGGGCCTTACAAGAAGTCTCAAAGTCACCCAAAGGGCAACAGAATGCTTTCTCTGCGCGAACGATACAAAAATGATGAGATCCGCAGGAGAACTAATTTTGCCGACATGGAATTGTGAGCCTTAACTGGAGTAGCAGGCACATTGCAAGATGGACTGACGGCCGTTGGGCTGCAAAGTTCCTGCAGTGGCTATCGCGTACCAGGAGACGAGGCGTTGGTAGACCTCCTCCTCCAAGATGCCAACAATCTGGCGAATGTCTCGGGATGCCGCTGGATGCGGGCAGCAGATCGGCTTGAAATTCCTTGAGGGAGGCCTATCTCCAGCAGTGGGCGTCTCTCGGCTGTTATAAAATACAAATACAAATATATTTATTAAAATTAACTAGGAGGTCCCGTATCGTGGGCACCCAATGAATGTAAAAAAAAATATTGCAACAGATGAAAAGTAAAATTACAGAATACAAAAACTAAATTTTTAACTACGTTATAAAGTAATAAAGTGCGTGTATGTGTGTGTGTGTGTGTGTTTGTGTGTGTTTGTGTGTATGTGTGTGTGTGTGTGTATGTGCTTGTCTGTACCTATGCATGTAGGACGGTGAGAGCCAAGGATATGATAAATGTTACGTCAATGAATTATAAAATTGATAAAGTTACTCATTCCTTTTTTTATACGTTTAATTAAGCACAATTGAAACGGTCACGAAGCACATATTTAATTAATTTCGTGAGATTTATTTAATTATGTCATATTTCATAACATTATTCAGAAAATATAAAATTGATAAAATTCAAAAAATTCAAAATTCAATATCGTTTATTCAGTCTAGGCTGTTACAAGCACTTGTGAATGTCGAAAAGCTACGCCATCGGTTCGCAAATCTACGGCGGGAGACCTTGTACTGAGAAGAACCGGCAAGAAACTCAGCAAGGGCTGTTTTTTTCTCCCTGTATTGTATACAGAGTCGTCAAATTGAAAAATGACTTCAATATGAGGTAACTCATAAAGTCACTTTCCATTACAAATGCTAATATAATAAAAATTATGACTATATAAAAATCTGGTTTAACAAAGTTTAGGAATGCCGTGTCCTGCTGTTTAGGCAAAAAAAAATGAACGATTAAAGTTTAGTACAACGGTTAATAGTATCCAATGAAGCAAGAGCAGACTCATCTCCGCTGGCAGCACCCGTTCACGAGCATGACGCATGAACCAGCCATCGCTTCGCTCAACCATTTTTTAGGGAACGCAACGACCCGCCTCACACGACACCACCGAAGAGATTTTTAAGAGAGCATGACTACTCATAACCACACATGGATACCATGTTACAAAGATAGAAAAAAAAAATATATAACTACCAGAGTACATTATTATAACAAATTATAAACATAACGGTAGGACACATGCATGTGATTACCCATACACTGTTGTCGATTCTGGCACTACTCTCCCAACCCAAAACCAAATCCAACATCAGTCCCCCCTTTTCAGTCTGTATAAAGAATGACAAAGATACACCGCTGCAAAACCAAGTTCAGGTCTAGAAAACCATACCAGAATCCACACCGCCATTAAATCTTTATCAGATAAATAATAAATGTTCACTTACATATTGATTGCTGTGTCATACAGTATAAATACAAGTTGTGTAATGTAAAATACAATCTAAATTTAATAATAATTATCATTACAATAATAAAGTAGTAACTAGTTTTTACGGGTTAATGCACGAAACTTTATTTATAAATAAAGTAAAGGCTACGAAGCGTCAATAAATAAATAAAGTTTCGTGCATTAACCCGTAAAAACTAGTTTTATTTAATGAGTGATGTGCGTGAAAACCTAAGAAACAAATATTTATAGCCTATTTTGATTTCAACTCAATTCCTCAATCAGTACAATGTAAAGTTTATTAAGTGTAAGTTCCACTTTATAAAATATTGGAAATCGGGTGCGTAACCAAATACTAAGTTATGCAGAATTTTATGGATCACTCCAAAATAGAATGGAGAAGTGAATAATATAATATTTCCAAGTAATTACTTAAGGTGTAAATGTGAAATAGGTAAAGTTATTAGAATCGTAATTTTCAAAGGAAATCTCCAGAAACCGCTTTGAATGAGGACGAATGATGGCTGCCAGCCGACGAGGCGTAACAAATTAATTAATGAAAGAGTTTGTTAATGAATTTTCGGAAATCGGCGCAATAATTGTTAGTTAACTTCGATGTTTACTAGATCATAATTGGTTTTCGCAAAGGTCATTTTGAATTAGTAGCGAACAAACATGACTGATGTTGATTTATTTATAGCTTTGTGTTTGTTTTGACACAGAATAATTTGATTATATTTTTTGGAAAATATATTTGTAAAATATTTGGTAAGTAAAATTTACTTGGATAGAAGATGTTGAACTCACTCTCATTAACAACACGTTGTGTTAAATCATCATCATCATCATCAGCCTATCAATGTCCCCACTGCTGGGGCACAGGCCTTCCCTATGGATGGAATAGGGAGATTGGGCCATGACCCACCACGCGGGCCCAGTGCGGATTGGTGGGTGCTAACGACTGCAGATGCAGCCGGGACTAACGGCTTAACGTGCCTTCCGAAGCACGGAGGAGCTCGAGATAGTAAATTTTTGGTCACCCATCCAATGACCGACCACTGTGAAAGTTGCTTAACTTCAACGATCGCAGCCGAACGCGCTAGCCACCTGCGCCATCGAGCTCCTGTGTTAAATCATCGCCCACGAATTTCGTAGCAAAATTAAATGTCCTTGTCCTAAAAGTCCTGGGAGATAAAAAAAACCGGCCAATTGCGTTTCGACCCACGCGCAGTGTAAGCTTCCGTAGTTGCCTGTAGTTACAAAAATATATTTGAGCAGCAATCTTTATTTTTATATCGGAAATTAGAAAAAGCAATTAATATCAATCTACGTATCTCAATTAAAATACATAAATGAAAGTTAAACTGCGTCTCAAACTCAAACTCTAATCAATTCGATATTATTATTACTTTTTAAATACGAATAACCGTATACCGTATAACCGTAACCATAACCGCCGATTTTTTTTGTTTCCTCCCAGGCGGGGGAGGAGGTGTGAAATCCTCATGGATATATTTTTTATTATTTTAAAGCATGTAACTGCTTGATGTTTATAATAATTGGTCAGTGCATTCGCTTGGATTGCGAAGGGTGCGGGTTCGAGTCCCGTCTGCTACCTGGTCTGCGTGGAATTTTTTCTAGTTATATTTTCTTTAGATTTAAATATGAAGCAGTTACATGCTTTAAAATAATAAAAAAATATAACTATAATTGCTATTTCTTCTTTCAAATGTTTAATACTTGTAAAAGTATTCATTTGACATTGTGGGTTACCTATAATGCGAAGAGATGGCGCTGCCTTGCAGCTTAAGAATGGCTAGAAGAATTTCGACGCGGTCCGTGAGGGCCGCGGTAGCATAATTGGTCAGTGCATTCGCCCGGATTGCGAAGGGTGCGGGTTCGAGTCCCGTCTGCTGCCTGGTTCGCGTGGAATTTTTTCTAGTTATATTTTCTTTAGATCCTCATGGATACCTTACAGCCGGCTGCAAGGTTATGTCAGACTCTTACTGGCTAAAAGCTTCATCTGAAGCGATCATCCCCTTCCGATCTTTTCAAGTGCTTGTAAACGTTAGCGCGATTCAGAAGCCGTTGCCGTTGGTATCCAGTATATATTGTCACAAACGCACTCGAAACGGAACCGCGAAAGCGCTAGAGACCGAATGTGCCAGAGCACTGCTGGTCGCAATAAAGGTCATGTAATGCGGCTCATTCTAAAATGAGCCGAGCTGAGATAAAGTGCTACGACATCTGTACTTGTTTACAACTTATGCACGTTACTTGCGTAGGTATAAGTAGGTACTTCGTACTTTCTAGAATGCGTCGATCGGCGTATATAAGCGCGATTGGCGCCGCGCAGAGACAGTTAAGTTTCAACAGCGATTTCGGAGCGAATCCAAAGGCGATCAAAGTGCAACAAAAGTGTTCAAATGCGATTGTTTGGAGACTTGTATAGTGAAATACAGTGTTAAGTGAGTGTTTAGTAATTAACATTGTGTGTTAATTGTGTGGACTGTGTGGTGAATAAAGAACTGTCAAGCGTGAACTGGCATATAATTTCGAACCCCATCCCGACACGTAACAATATGTATTCTATCCGTTACCCCAGCATCCCATAACGAAAGCCCCACAGTGCTTACTTTTGGGCTAGGCTAATGAAGTTTGATTTTGGGAAATATGTATTTGTTAATATTTATTTATTATGTTATGGTTTACCACGGAGGCTTGAATTATAATTTAATATAAATATTATTAACTTGGCTTATACTTATTCATTTTTTCTCCAGAGCACACATGAAACTGACAGTAAGGAACTTGCAGACCGGTGACTTTGGGAACTACAGATGCATCTCTAAAAACTCACTTGGCGAGACTGAAGGATCCATTAGGCTATATGGTAAGATTACAAACAAAGATTAAATATGATACTGACAGCTAATAAAATAAAATAATCATAAAGCACGCTATCTGTTTCTATTAATAAAATAATAAAGTTAGTCATGCACAATTATCTCTCCACCTTTCCACAGACTTGAGACTATCAAATTTTATTTTTTAATTATTTTATTGTTGTCAGCGTTAAGGCAAAGGAAAAGAAAAAAAAATACTCAGCCTCTACATTTTTTTTTACTTACATTGTTATTTTTGTTTGTGGTATTGTTAATCGTGATTGTGTCGTTTATTATTTTTTTATTCACGTCAACCTTAGGCCCTGCCAGAATATCAGCGCCGCAGCGGCCTCGGTGTCGTTGTGGCATTGTGCTGAGGCAGGGACCTAGTTGACCTTATTCTGTTTGTTATCTATGCTTTTTATTTGTAATTTTATAGAGTCAATAAATAATTTCTTTCTTTCTTTCTTTCTTTCTTTCTATCCGCTTTATGCCAAAACTCAGACTGAAATTAGTCTTGGTTTAAACCTTTTTGTCTCTTTCTTATTTTTAGCAAATGAAAGTGACAGCATCAATTTTAATCCAGGTTTAACTTTACTTTACGTTTTGTAAAAAGGCGGTCAAAGTTATGAAAAAACAAGTTATTTTAAATATGTAGATGAAACACTTATTTGAACATCAGTGGAGAAGCGAACGATTATACTTACTTAAATGGTTTGGTGAGACAATGGTGCTGTGAAATGCGAGTTGCTGAAATATGACAATGATGTCGATTCTGGCATGATTCTCTGAAGCTAAACGTAAATTTGACAACAGTGCATCCTTGTCCTTCTTTAAACAGAATGAAAAGGTGAGACTGACCTTTAATTTAGTTTTAAATAATTAGAGAAGCACGCCAGAATTGACACCAATATATGTGTATGATGCAAGAAATATACTTATTATTGGGCTGTAGTCTCAAGGTGGATATAGCCTCTATTATAAACAATCATTCATTAAATAAATGTAAGAAATAAATAAAGACGAAATTTATACTGAAGAATTGCGATTGAAATTGAAGCCACACAGTTATTACATTACTTAACCATGAAAGGTCTCGATTTAACTTCTGATATTTTAATGAGAAAGTGGAGCTAAGGCTTCACTAATTCCATAATGTTACACAAAATAACATTTATCTTAGTTGCTTGAAAATTAATTGAATACCATGAATAATAGTATCTTGCTCGTAACTCGAACCACTGATTGTTTAACTTCGAAATCATTTTACAAATATTAATGTTGATTTCATATTTTGCTTTAAATTACACTAAATTCGTATTTTAATAAGCATTACCTTTAAACAGAGTTATTTTGTAAATGTCATCTTCATTTATTATCTATCCACTTTAATTAGAGACTTTAAAGCAGGGCTTGTTTACCGGTTAATTTTCAAACCTAAATCAGTGTCAGTGGCGCTACCTTAACCTTAAAAAACCGGTTTACCTAAAGAGGGAAACCAAATAGGTTTTGAATCAATTTAGCGGTTTTTAAAGGGTTTCATTTCGCTCTTTCTGACGGCATCAATGATAAATGAATAACTTAACTCACTAGACGCTAACAAACGTGTCAATAAATGCATCAATCTCTGAGCATTAACAAGTTGTGACTTGATTAGTTCAAACAAAACAAACTTCAAGCGATGCCGACGCGTGCACGTGTCGCTCTGGATTAAACCGGTTTATTAAGGTTTTTTGTACCGCTTTGAAAATGAAATGAAATGAAAATTTCGGACGCGCTCCGAACGAAACCTTTACTAAAAACCGGTATTAACCTTTATTTACCGGTATTTTCGGAACCGGTTTCAAGCCCTGCTTTAAAGAGAAAAAATAAAATTTCTGTTTCCAATGAAAGATATTCCTTTTAGTCTATGCTGAATGAATAAAAATAATATTAAATCTCTATGTAATTATAATATTATCCTACAGAAATTCCTATGCCGTCTACATCTCCAAAAGCGACGGAGATGAAAAGCAACGCCAATAAAGAGAGTAAGTGTTATCTGCTTCACTCAATATTTTTTAATTAAACTATGTAGTGATAACTTCACAAATTTTCATCCATGTGTATTATTTTGTTAAAAAATTAAAGAGAAGTCTGAGGAAATCTATAATCTTACTGATTTTTAAGGAAACATACAGCTACAAATTAATTATCGAACGCTAATATTGGTACGATTATCTAAACATAAAACAGAATTGGACAGTAGTACTCCCTTTTAGTTCTCTAAAGAAATGCATCATATTACTACAGACGAATTTAGTTTTAGGTCGAGATTCTCTCGACTAGCAACCACAGAATGTTAGCTATTTATTGAAGTGATAACTTAAGTGGGAGGGTTAACCGCTTCGTTACGTAACGCGTTACGGCGCCATTCTATCTGACTTCCCTTCCTCTCACGCATACGGCAGCGGTAGGCTTAGATTAATCTAAGTTATCACTTCTGCCGTGCGTCCCGAGATGCACACCCTTTTTTATTATTACTGTCGTTTATAATTGCACGCTAAATTGAATGTGAAATGAACCAGATACTCAATCTTATTTCAAAATCTATAAAACTTTAACAAAAATTTTAATTTATCCTATGTCCACGAATAGATGTCCACTAAATGGTACTGAAATTTTAAATAGCATAGTAGGTAATTATGATGGTTGGGATGACGAATGATCAGGGAATAAGATAGAGGAAGACATATTGCCCCGAGCTCGGATAAAATTGCGAAGAGCGCAGGTCAATGATGATGAATGAGTTAGTAATTAAGCTGTTGGTACGGTCGAGATCACGACAACGGTTGCACTTGCGCGACGAAATACATCTCTTATTGTTACCAATGATAAAGGTGTTCAAATATTGATTGTGTTTAATCCATTTTGTAAGTTGAATTCTATTCTATTTGAATTTTTATTATTAATGTCGTTCACGAAATTGAATACCTCTGGTTTAGTTATTTCTTTCATTCGAAATCACATGAATATAGTAGCAAGCGTACTCAATTCAAAAATCTTATCTTTGTACCTTTATAAAACAAAATTGATGTCGGATGACATAAGCACTTAGTATTGATAGTTTAAATAACTTCTAATAACAATATTATTTTTATTACTGCGTATATTAGTCCGATGCCAAATTAAGTTACATTAGCTCGTGGAAATTTAAATAAATAGGTAATCGAAAATGAGAACAGCTTACGACGACAGCAAAAGATTATTATCGTAATATTATCTACATATTGTTTAAGCAACGATATTCAATACCCTAGATACACCAACACGAACAAAATCGTGCCTGAAACCTGTCCAAAAGTTACATTGAACGATCCACGAAGCTGCGTAAGATGATCGCGTAGTCAAAACATAATATAAAGCATTATTTAAACATTGAAAGCCACTTTTAATGCATACTATATCAGGTCTTGATTAATTGCGTCAAAGAGTTATGACAGTTTGAAATGCAAGCTCGAAAAATTTTACGACTTATTGCTATATACGGAAGATTATAGATCTTATTTCTTTGACTCTGTTAGCAATATAGCAGGTACAGACAGGAAAAGAGACGGCTATATTACCGACCATGCATTTGAATATCACAAATATTTTCTATTAAATCAGTTTATAGTAAGTATGAAAAACAAGCTTCAAATGCGTTAAATTTACAAACATTGATTTGACACCTGTCGAAAAAGGGTCACTTTACGTACCTACCTACTATAAGTATTTATTTCCCATTTATCACGGAGCTCTGCGGCATCTTGACTTTTCGATGGTCCACGCGTGACTGTGAACTAATGAAGAACGAGTGAACCAAGAAGTGCTTGAGTGATGTTCAAGCACTTGTTGATTGTGACACATTTTGAGCGCACGTGGTGTATCTAGGGTATTTAATATCGTTGTGTTACAGACAAAAACTAGCGTGTCGCCCTTGTTGTCATGACATTGCATTGACTGAACAATTCCCGTAAGTAGTGATAATGTAAAACGCAGTGGCTAAAAACAGCATCAATCTGATCAAGAGAGAAAGAAAACCACACCAAATATACAGAAAATATAGCCTAGTGGTTTGGGAGTTCGGTTATTATTGCGAAGTTTGTAAATTTGTCTCGGCGGTGTAGCTTGTGAGGTGGTTTGTTACATTTCCTAAAATATGGTTCGAACATCATGCTCGTGAACGGGTGCTTATGGTGGAATGAGTCTGGTCGGCTAACTCAATTATGATATTCTTTTTTTATGTTTTCACACACACTAACTTATTTATAAAATACTTCTTGAACAGGTGTTAAGCGCGATTTATTTAGATCACACAGGGGTTAAGGAGGTCTCAACTATGAAAAAGTATACTTAGGTTATAAAGGAGATTGCTCAGCTTCCATACATGTTTGGCCTAAAAACCAATAACCATGAAAAATTGTTTCCTAGATTCGAAATTATATATAAATTACCGTAGAAACGAATATTATCGACGGCCACTCCTGAGAACTTCTATAAACCATATACACTGAATGATTTTGAGGTTATGTTTGCAAATAGGCACATAGGTATTAAGATAATAAAAACCAAATAACTTATATAGGAAAATAGGGCAATCAAGCCAAGTACCGATATTATGTATTAGATTCAGGTATATAGAGCATGTAAAATAACAGATAATTGCCTGTTTTTAAAATTAATGCACAAGAGTAAGTTTTAAAATCATGATTATGCCATTGCGACTTTCAGAAGCAATCTTGTTTCATTTGACAAGTGTCTAACACTAATTACACTAACAAAATGCATGTCAAGGAACTGGTACCTGCTTACCTATGTTATGAGAAACATGGAACTGTTATCATAATTTTATAAAAACCAATAGGATATTCTCTTAGTAATAATTAGGTTTATAATGGTAAAAGGTAATTCTAATGTAATAATATATTGCGTAGGTTCATGATAGTTCTGATCAATGTGTGAAATATGTATATTCCTGACATAGCTTAAATATTCTGATAAGGTAAATTAATGAAATAAAACAACTTAAGTACTTTTATGTTGCGTTTAATATTACATATCATCTACATTTTGAATTAAAATATCATCGAAATATTTTATCAATCTTTACAAAATAGATTTGTTTTGATGTTATATAAACAACCTCGATCAGTCTTTGTGAATGTTACTACACCCATAGCCAATAAAAATGATTCGTATGTTTTCCAAACCGGTAAAAATAGAAGTCCTTTTTTAAAATTAATATATTATTTAAAGGTGGCCTTTAAAATCTAATGACTGTAAAATAAAGTATAAATTACGCCAAGAATTACTGTATATGTCAATATTTTATTTGCATTTAGGCCAATTTGACCAATCTCCTTTCTGGCACTTCTTTTTATATCTATTGGGTTAGAAATGTGAATGACGGAGCCAATCGAACCAAACTAAGCGAAGTCCCTCCTACCTGTCGAATGACTGTCAATGAATAGGCTAGTTGACTCATGTCGAATTGTATTAAATAAATGTTTATTTCTTAAAGTATTTGGTCTAATGAACCTAAATATATCGATTTCACTTCATAAAAGCAGAAGATTGCTGTAGAAAGTTAATTTAAAAAAAAAAATTAGTCTATACTTTGTAAACACTAAAAACGCTGTTCGCCACATCCGCCATGATTGTGACGTCTCTTTTAGTAAACAACTAAATGTCATTCATACATAACTTTAAAACTTGAATTATTAAAACTGATAATAAATGAAGAGACTTAAAATATTATTCAATGAGTACTTACATCAAAGCGATCTTCGCAAAAATAAATTTTACTGTAAGTCGATAAAGTTGCAGGATCACTTTTAGCAAGTTCTAACCAGGTATTGCGTAGGTTAATTTCTTTCGGCACTTAATCCACACCTTTCCTGGAGTCTTCAAGGATGTGTTTTTACATTCTCGTACAATACAATAATGATAATTACTATATTTTTCGTGGTATCTATTAGAAATCATGTTTTTTTTTTATTATAAACTCAGATAGGTTATTTTCTACGTGCTTACGAGTTTTTGTTTACTACCGTCGACGTCATAGCATAGATAATCTATAGACTGAAATGGCCGACAGCGTTTTAGTATGTCCATGAAAAGTCTATTTTAAAATTAAAGATTTGTAGCTTTCTAGGTCTCAAAAAATACTATACATTTTTTTTCGGTCTAATAGGACATTTATTAACCATTTAAAAACCTTTTCCCAAAAAGGGTCAACTAGCCTATTATTGTACCGAATCATTTCCATTTCTGTGTGAACCTTCTTTCGCTTAGTTTACATAGCTTCGCTTTGCTGGATTATTACTCTCCCTGTGTGTGTGACCAGGAGGCCGATCGCGCCTAATGTCAAACGACTGAAACGCAATGAACCGCGAACGAACCGCAACCTTTTACGACATTTCGTATCGCGCTAAAGATTTGGCAGCTAGTTGAAATATAAACGTATCACTATTGGACCGTACTCCAGTGAAATTCAGTCAAAAAAGATAAAGTACATATGTTTCAGTTGGCATGTGAAAATTAGCGCGATACAGATTTCGTTTAAAGTTAAGTTGCAATTAGAATTGGATCAAAATTGAACTTAGGCGGATTGTTCAAAACAATAAAAAGCGATTTGGCCTGCTGTTGTGAAACGTGTGCATTTGTAGTTTTGAAAACCAACTTCATATTACCATCTAATACGCAATCTATTAGAACAATTTCAGAAGCTCTAACGAAGAGATCCCAGCTTCTGATAATTCATTCCTTGCCATCCGTCAAATGTAGCTGGAATCAAAGCTGCGAAATGTTACGCATAATGGCATCTATTAAATACATTACTGAGACTCATGCATGCGGTCGAGCAAAGTTGACTATAATTTCGATAAATAATATTTCTAAAGAAAAGTTTACTAGAAAAAATCCACGCGGACCAGGCAGCGGACGGGACTCGAACCCGCATCCTTCGCTATCCGGGCGAATGCACTGACCATTATGCTACCACGACCCTATTAGCCGCGTCGAAATTTTCCTAGCCTTAAGCTGCAAGGCAGCGCCATCTCTTCGCATTGTAGGCAACCCACAATGTCAAATGAATACTTTTTCAAGTATTAAACATTTGAAAGAAGAAATAGCAATTATAGATATGATTTTTATTTATTTTTTAAGCATTTAACTGCTAGATGTTTTAATCTAAAGAAAAGTTTACTAGAAAAAAATGCTTAAGGCCTTGCAGCTTAAGGCTAGGAAAATTTCGACGCGGCTAATAGGGCCGTGGTAGCATAATGGTCAGTGCATTCGCCCGGATAGCGAAGGATGCGGGTACAGTCCCGTCCGCTGCCTGGTCCGCGTGGATTTTTTTCTAGTAAACTTTTCTTTAGCTTTAAACATCTAGCAGTTAAATGCTTAAAAAATAAATAAAAATCATAAATAATATTTCGTCTAACAAGTTTCTTTGTGTAGCCGTGGCGAACGAAGCTGTAAAGTTGCGCGGCTGCAGATATTAAACTTTCACATTACGACTAGGATCCTCCAGTTTGGTCCTCCCTTTGTCGTTCTCCAACGCGCCGGAGACCTGTTTTATGCATTTCGATTCTGCGGGCTGTTGAATTTTTAAAATTGTTTCGATTGTTCGATGGTGTGATCCTAACTTGGACTCGAATGGAATAAGTAAATGAATGTTTAAAGGTCCTACTGCTGAATGTGTCAAAGTAATTTGTTTTGTATCACAGAGTTTGTACCGAACTGAAATGGAATATAGTTTAAGCGCCATCTCGTGGTGAATAAAGTTAATTTTGTGCCTCTCGCTGTTACAAAGTGACACTAACCTGGTCGATCAACATCGATATTAGCAAATTAAATTTAACATCAATTGCTTTTTTAATATTGCTACACAGTCTCTTAAGAGTTAGTCACCCAGAACAGGTTTTATAAGAATAAAAAATATTTGATAGTGAAACTATAGTACAAACAAATAATCGTGGCAGGAGGTTCTAAATATCATTTTTGTCATAAAAATGCATATGTGCGATTTGAATGAACTTTCGATTTTTATCGACAGATCGAACGATCGCATTTTTGCGATAATCATCGCCGACAGTACGGGATATTATTTTCATCATCATCATCATCATCATATCAGCCGTACGACACCCACTGCTGGACATAGGCCTCCCCCAAGGATCTCCACAACGATCGGTCCTGCGCTGCCCGCATCCAGATCCGATCCGATATTATTTTCAGAATCTACTTTTAAGTTAAAAAATCTTCAAAAATTTCGCCACGAAGATGTTCGTTTATCTAAAATATTTAACATATAGCGGCTATGAACGTAGCAACGAGTTCAACCATCGCAGGTTTAATTCAGCCGTCAACGAAACGCATCAAAATTCGCTTATTGCGTCGCAACTTTGCGTATTGAAGGCGATATGTTAACCTCGTGGCGTATTGCAGGCGTGCGGCGCGCTAACGTGACGCGGGCGGTCCAGCGCGCCGAGCCTGGCACTGGCGGCACCGAGCGGCCCAGCGTGGTGAGGGCACAGCTAGACCGTGCGCCAGAGAGAGACGCAGCTCATCACGTCTACCGGGCACCACACCCGCACCACGTCTCAGGTAATAAGGCAGAATCACCCACGATCAGCGGGCCCAACCGAGCACCGGCGACACCCAGCGCCCGAGCATGGTGCGGGCGTAGCTCGACCGAGCGCCAGAGGTATATGCAGCTCCTCACGACCACATCTCAGGTAATAAGGCAGAATTACACGTGCTAACGTGATACGGCCGCAGCTCCTGAGACACAGCTCATCACACCTACGGGGACCATACACACACACACCACGTCTCAGGTAATAAGGCAGAATCACCCAGGATCAGCGGGCCCAACCGAGCACCGGCGACTACCAGCGCCCCAGTGTGGTGAGGGCACAGCTCGACCGAGCGCCAGAGGTATACGCAGCTCCTCACGACCACATCTCAGGTAATAAGGCAGAATTACACGTGCTAACTTGATACGGCCGCAGCTCCTGAGACACAGCTCATCACGCCTACGGGGACCATACACACACACACACCACGTCTCAGGTATTATGGCAGAATAACAAACACTTAACACGGTTCAGTGCCGAACCGAGCACGGGCAGCACCTAGCGCCTGAACGTGGTGCGGGCACAGCTTCACCGAGCTTCTGAGAGGGACGTGGCTCATCATGTCTACAGGGCACCATATCCACACCACGTCTCAGGTATTATGGTACAATTATACAGGGCCAGCGAAACAAGTCCTACACTAGTGGCACCGAGCGCCCCAGCGTGGTGCGGGCACAGCTAGACTGAGTGCTGAAAGAGACGCAGCTCATCAAGTCTACCGAGCACCACACCCGCAACATGTCTCAGGTATAATAGCAGAATCACGCTGAGTCAGCTGAGCACCGGCAGCACCGAGCGTACTTACGTAGAATGTGTGTCCACGTCTACCGAACACCACATCCACACTACGTCAGGTATAATGGCAGAGGAACAAAACGTACGAACGAACGAACGAAAACGAAACGATCCCAGCACCCGAGCATGGTGAAGCGCCTGAGAGGGACGCGGCTAACCACGTAACCACACCCGCATCACGCCTCAGGTATTATAATAATTAATAAAATATAAAAATGTACACGTTATAAAAATCATTTTGATATTCATATCGCCATGCAGCGGTGCGAGCAAAAATAACTCCTTAGGATATTCCATAAAAAATCGTAATGTTCTATTTATATACAAATCTAAGTCATCTGATACTAATGTTTCCATTTGTACATTAAATATTAATTTCTTTGTTTCACTACACAAGCTTTCACGGATAGATTCCACAATAAAGCAACCGCCGATCCTAATCCGAGTTGAGTCGTTGGCTAACCCTAACCTAATTACGTACTATTATAAGCCAAACTTAATACTTAATACGTAAAGCCCATAATACGGCATCTACAAAGAGTTTGAAGCCACAGGAGGCTTTGCTCGCTTTGTATTCTTTGTAACAATATACTGCATTATTAAAAACGTCTCTTTCCCCTTGGATGGTAAAAAATAAATGTGCTCTGAGAGTCGCGGTGAAATGGGTTGAGCGGAATATGTGACGACGCCTGGATGCGGCAATTGTTTGAGTACCAAGACGTTCTTAGCATTCGGGCTTTTATCTTGATGGAGAAAACGCGAAGGTGTTTTAATTTTTTAGACGTCACTTGCGTTGCTATTTTGTCTGCCCTTTCCCATTCAATTGTGCTGCGCAATTATAAACTATGCTAGTTAAGAGTTTCACTTTTCTTGTGAGGAAGAATAATCTCTTATAATTAAGGGGCTTATCTTCAGAATTTGGCTGCTAGTTATTTGAATCAGGATTTTTTTTTTCTTGACAGAAAAACATTAATATTCTTGCAAGATTTACTTTCATTCTTTTCCCTTAAATTGTCTGTATACCATTGGACCTTTGTGGCAAAACATTTCAGTAAATCAAATTTATATTGCCGTATTTCTTAATTTAGGTAAAAAGTTAATTTAAATTGCTTTACTAAGAAACAAATAAAATAGAATTCCTAATCGACGTTTAAGCAAACTTTCAGGCGTGTGCGAAATTGAAAAGCATTACAGTGTCTCTCGAATTGAAAGATTTATATCTGACTGCGCATTAGAGTGTGGCTGAGATCCGACCTGGGTTGTTTTCAGTGTACCCAAACCGCCAAATAGAAATTAAACATTCAACGATTTCACATACACACTTAACTCTCATAAATATTCAGCACAGAACTCGTACAATCAATTCTTGCAGCTCCCGGGCAAGGAAAAAGTGTTTGAACAGTCAAATAATATGATATCAAATAGAGACCAGGGCAAGCGTTTGAATAAATATTAGGGTATACGAAACTCGAGTGTGTTAGAGCTATTTGCATTCGCTTGCGTACATAGTTTTATTGATCTGAAAATTATGCTGAATATACAAATATGTCGTCGGAGTAAGCAAATAATGGCGAACAGACGCATTCTGTTTGCGTAAATCTTCAGTTGCGAGGCGTTGATAGTCTTATCATGTAGTCCAATAGGAACAAAAATACGGCGTTTTTACGAAAGAGGAATTGTGTATTTGAGAGCTGGGGAGCGCTCAAGCGGCAATGATAACTTGGCGTTTACTTCGCCACACCTCAATAATTTTGAGGCTTCTTATAGACGTTTCGAATGAAAAAGTGAATAGTAATTCTTTTCTTTAGCGATATCATCTTTGATACTTATTTATTTTTAGATGCAAAGATATTATGAAATATCTTCTTTCAGAACAGGTGGGCCGTAATTTCTTTGTTTCAACGTACCTATATTAAAAAGGAATTTATTTGTGAATTCTTTTGACTAAAGCAAAACGGAAACGTAACAGGCAATTCTCATGAAAACTATTTTTCTGAAGTTCAATTCAGTTAGCGTGTCTAATCAATTTATTTTCTTATTACTTACTAGAATTGAAACAGATTATGCAAAGCAAAGCAGACATCAGTTTTATTTTGCGCATTCATTCATTACTTTCTTGCAAACTTGCGGCGAGCTCTAGCCACACCAGTCGTTTATCTCTCAGTGGCATCTCATTTGTTAAACTAAACTACCTTTATTTCCTTCGTACCATTTATAACTGCTACAAAGTTATGCACTTTGTGTTATTGTTTCATAATTTCATTATTCCTCTTGTTATAGGTGCGAGAAATCTTCAATGTTGGCGAAAATCCTTCCTGGCGATTGTGATCTTCGTTCATATAGATCTCCTAGTTTGATTTTCTGTTTATTGATATAATTGGATTGTTGTTTAATTTTTTATAATTGTTGAAAGATACTGTTAGTTTTATATAGATTACAAATATGCTTGTGTATTTGTTGTCTTGTTTTGTTTTATGATGAATAATCACAAGACTATTGGCCATATTATAAATAAAAAACAAAGAAACATATCAAGTCAACATTTCTTGTGTCATATCCTGTATGTGAAGAAAGATATAAAGTGAGAAGTGTATATTTTTACTGAGCAAGTTAATACGATTCAAATAATAAATTACTAGTAGTTTATAAGCATTTCATTCGGAAAGCTAAACCTGTTTTGTATTATTCCCTCGATAATTTCCTAACGCGTACTTTTTGAGCGATATATTTTTTTATAAATCTTACCATTCCCTAGTCACTATCTTAGTACGTCCTTTACCTACCATTAAAACTGCTATGGTTACGATAATTTCGGACCTATTAAGAAAAACTACCACAGTTTTAACACGATAAACCTTGTTCACGTTTTCTTCCTTCAGAATCCATTTTGAATTGTATCGTATATATTGTCCTTCCAAGTTATTGTAGTATAAAATACACAGTTAAAGTTAATTTTGGTGCCGCGCTTTGCATAGAATTATTAATTCTGAAAGTAAATGTGCCAAACATTTTCGTGATCGAATTAAAATGTAATATGTATTACGTACGCATTCATTTTGTCACTTTAATTCTTTAAATACTCATGTGTTTCGAATGTATTTACGAATTAATATGATGTTATGATTGTAATCAAATTAAGCAAGTTTCATTGAACCTTTTATTAGATTATGATTATTGTTTTATGCACTGTGATGTTTTGACCGAGTCATTACATGAATTCTGGTTAATATAATGTGTTATTACAATTCAAACTCTATAATAACACGAAGAATTTCATTGTTGTATTCTGTTTTGGGTTTTATGGCGTTTTATTAATTCTTCGAAATAATCCAACCTATTTTGGCGGAAAAGGTGGATGGAATTGTATAGCTTTTCAGATTTCACGTAATCGTCAAAATTCTATAATTAATTTCCATCAAAACTGAATTATCCTGTTTAAAGTAATTCTAGAATTTTCGTATTTTGTGATCACCAAACGTGCTATCGTATACTTTCATGCTGTTCTTGAGAAAATCTCATTTGTATTTATGTAATGTTAATATACAATTGTGTACAGTCGGCTTCATACAAATATGAGGTAATAAGGTGATCAAATAATATATAAAAGAGCAAAGGTTCAATTATATCTTTGCATTTAAAGTCAGCTTAATTATGTACGCAACCAACTGGTCTTATATTTCTTCAGATCAAAAGGCTTCAAATACATTTACACTATTACAATGATCTTTAATATGTACACGCCGTAACTGTTCATTGGAATCTAAGCGTCCAAGGCACCCATAAACATCTTCGCTTACATGCCTTATTCAATTTAAATAAAATTAAAGCACTCATATCAACTTGGAAAGAATCGTCACTTCATACTGCAACGCACACATCGGTATATGTTGAATTAAGATGAAAATTATTGTATTTATCGCGGTGCGAGGTCAACTTGCAGTTCCCGCGTTTACGTCTCCCCGTACCCTAGCTTACGTCTCTTTGTCCACGTTCGGATTCAAACTGATTGAACTAGTACCACGGTAATATTATCTATACAGTATTCTATCTTCATACAAACGGTCGGAAACCGTGTCATACCTACGCAACTCGAGTTCGCGCGGCACCCGGTGGGCATCCAGTCGCGAATGCGCCGCAGCGATGACCGAACGGTGTGAATTGTTTTTAAGCAGTTAGCCGTGCTTAAACGTTTATATTGTGAATATTTGGTGGAATTAAGTAGATACCTACATAATTTAATATGGCAAAGAGCTATAGTCGATATTGTGCTGGTTTTGGTTGCTTGAACTCTTCAATAATTAAACTTTTTATACGAATGCGTATTTATTATACTATTAAATTTAATTTTAAATATTTTTCTATCTCAAATCTTTATATTGTTTTATTAAATATTACACTTAAAATAACATGCATTTTAAAAACACTTCCTAATTCATTCACAAGTTTTTTTTTTACATATGAAATAAAATATTTACAATCACAAAACTAGAAAGAAACTCAATTACGTAGATGAAATTGAAATACTGTAGGCTGGCAGCCCTACCGCATGGATACGCCCCGCTCGGCCGTAGGCAGTTATTTCAAGGACAGGGCCGAGTCAAAATATTGTAAAGATAATATTACCGTGCTAGTGCCGCCTAACCGGTAACCAGCGGTCAGCGAGCCGTATGCGCGGCGTCGCCCAGCCGTAGCCGAATCGACATACTGGAGCTGCTTATCTTCTTTCTCTAACAGGCTCAAAAGGGGTGATGACGGGGTACAGTAAACGAAATTATATTTAGTCCGTCAGTTAGATGATCAAAAAATAATGGACACGTATTTTTTCTTTGGGCAATCAACCAAAAAATGACAAAGTTATAGCGCGTCAAAGTTTGGGAGTAGGGGCTCGTGACGTCACTTTTGAGCGAATTTTCGCTTATAAGTGTACTCAAACGTGACGTCATGCGACTTTTCAAATCAATATATCTCTGTAATGTTTATATTATGTTAAAAAAAGAAAAAATACGTGTCCAATACTTTTTGATAATTTACCTGATAAACGAAGAAAAAAAAATTAGTCATCATCCCTAATATAGGTAGACGCCTGTTTGACGGTAAGCCGAAAGAAGAGTCCGTATCAATCCGCTTCCAAGTTGACATTGTGTGCTATGAGCTTTGATCTAATTGTTTCAAAATACTTAATTCGCGATCCCATTTCGCAAGTTTTGCATACAAGTATGACGTTACATATAAAAGTTGCTAGCGAAAATATGTTTTTGAGAGTTAGTAAATTGCATGTAGGTTTTACTTTGCATACAAGTGGAGATGTTACTAATTGAGTAAGTTAACGTTTGAACCTGTAACTAACTAACTAAAGTGTAAAGTGCAAATAACGCTTGAGCTTTGAATTTGCACGTCACTTAACAAAAAGCACAACTGACACGTAACTTGTAGCTTATATGCTGGTTTAGTTAAGTTACATATAATTTGCACCTTGTATGTCATCAGCCTATTAATGTCCCCACTGCTGGGGTACAGGCCTTCCCTATGGATGGAATAGGGAGGTTGGGCCATGACCCACCACCAGCCCAGTGCGGATTGGCGGGTGCTAACGACTACAGATGCAGCCGGGGCCAACGGCTTAACGTGCCTCCCGAAGCACGGAGGAGTTCGAGATAGTGAATTTTCGGTCACCCATCCAATGACCGACCACTGCGAAAGTTGCTTGACTTCAACGATCGCCGCGCTAAACACTTGTGCCATCGAGCTTCTCTGTATATATAATTAAAAAAAATATGGGTGCGTGTACTTAAGTACGCGCGTGAGAAGTTATACTTCATTTTGGAATTATTAAAAAATAGTTTTTAATTGCATGCAGATAATTAATTACAATAAGATAATAAAAGGATTGGAAAAGGATAGTCAACGCAGTCAATAAAGTTCAGTTTTAATTTGAAAAGTTTAATAAATAATCAAAATATTCAATTTAAATCACTACTGAATTTAAGTTATTAGTCCATATGTAATTAGCACTTGTAAGTAACTAAAACACGTTGTGTCTATATAGAAACTAGAAACATGTGAATAAATATTATAAATATGAAAACAGTGATCAGAGGCGACGATCGTGCCAACATTGTTTTTGACAACGCAATCATCTTATGGAGCTCCGTGGATAGTTCAAAGTACCTTTCGAACAGATGTCTAATAATGGTGGGTTATAACTAAGTGGTTAATAATCCACCATTATTAGACACTAACATTCATAACGCGCCCGCGGCCAACTTCATGGTGTTACTATTGTGTTACAGTGATGCGCGCGCATCTTAAAATTTCACTCTCATAATTTTTTCATAACGTGGCTTAAGAAGTATAACTTCAAAATCAATAAAATTATAGTTGCCTAATGGTATCGCGCCTTCGCGATAAATAAAAGACATTTCAATCACGGCATGCACAAAATAAAAACAAAAGAACAGTAATACCTCAGTATAGCGTTTACTGTTCTCTACTACCAAGATATTTTTGATAACTTTGTGTGCTTAGATACTTACCATTGAACAGTTATTATACAGGGTGTAAAAAAACCGATAACGAAGTCGAAGACCACGTATTTTCCACATCATGACGATCATTTTTTACTTCTGGACCATACCTGGGAAATTTATGGTCATGGAGATATTGAAGGTCAAAGCCAAAATATTTTTTTCGAGATTTATACATTAATATTTTCAAAACGTTATTTAGAAACTTTTTACCGACGCACTTACACACACGCACACACATACACACGGACACATTATTTGCGTAGCGCGCCGCGCTGTACATTGCGTACTGAAAAAAAAAGTATTTTTGTAACATAAAAATACAATTTTTTCCCACGTATAATACTTTGTAATATGACTTGTTTGGATGTACAGAATGCGTAGTTTAAGTCTTTGTCATAAGTTTTTTTTTACACCCTGTATAATTGATTATCTTAACACATAACATAATTATGAATTATGTTGTTTCGATAATATGGGCCGCTCTTGCCGGCTACAACAATAAGATTATCTAACAGCGCATAAAAAAAATATGCATCTTAGATAATTTTGATCAGTCTTCACACTTCGATTTCTATGGAGCTGACTGGACTCATTGTCTGACAATTCAAAATGTCACAGTGTACAAATAAATGTATTCTATTAGAAAAAACCTCTTAGTATTAACTATCCAGGCTTGCCCCTCACGCTTGTTGGTGAAATTGTAAATAATGAAATTATTGCACAATAATAAGTGAAAAGGTAAATATTTTAATGATATACCTTCATATCGATATATGTTGATTAATCGACCTAATAGTTAATTATTATACGCATTATTAAATGTATAAATCGAAAAGTGTA